GATGAGAGAGAGAGGGAGAGAGAGAGAGAGAGAGAGAGAGAGAGAGAGAGAGAGAGAGAGAGAGAGAGAGAGAGAGAGAGAGAGAGAGAGAGAGAGAGAGAGAGAGAGAATAAGAGAGTTGTTTTTATACACACAGACACACACACGCACACACACACACACACACACACACACACACACACACACACACACATATATATATATATATATATATATGTGTGTGTGTGTGTGTGTGTGTGTGTGTGTGTGTGTGTGTGTGTGTGTGTGTACGTGTGTGTCTGTGAGTGTTCTGTGTAATTTTGTGTGAATACATATAAATTATATGTATATACACATATATATGTTTCGTTCTTTAAGTAATTCATTCTCTCGTATTTAGAGATTTATATTGTTTCAAGTTCAATGAATTTAATATTTTTTCGTGATTTTCTCTCAAACTGAGAATTTTCTTTTTGTGATTCGCAATTACGTATGAATTCTATGTACTCCATTCTCTTCTTGTACGAATTTCGTTAATTGATTGATGAATTTCCCTCGTTTTTGGAATCTGGTTCATTTTATTCTCTTACTGATTTCGTTATTCGCACTCATGAACGACATGTCATTTTTTTCCCTGCACTTACGGTCGCGGGCTGGGAGGAAACTTAGTAGTTATGCCGTCATTATTATTTTGGTGACATTCTCCTGGCGCGAGAATATAGCTTTGACCGCAAATATTTGTAAATTCATTCAATAAAGCGTAACGATCTCCCCCTTTCATCGTGCCAGTATGGCAATGGATTGGTATCCGCCATAGACTGGTGTCAATCATCTCTTTAAGGAGCTTTTGTGTGTGGGTGTGAGTGCCCACAGGTATGGCTGGTGTGCTGGAGATCGCCGGGGAGAGCAGGGGAGGCTCACCCGTTGGCTAAGGCCTGGGTAGGCCTAGTTGCTGCGTCTTGCTCGGCTGGAGGATCGTGAGTGCTGAACTCGGCATAAAGCATAAAATGTAAAGAAGAGGGGGGGAAGGAAGAGTGGGGATAGGAGAAGGATAAGGAGGAGGAAAAGAATTTCAGGAGAAGAAGGAGCCGGGGCTTCACCCAGCCTGCGGGGTAAACTTGGGGTAATAGTGGAGTGGGTTTGTTGAAAGAGGAAAAGGATCGAGGGGCTCAGCGCCATCGGCAGACTCGCGTGTTCGCCGCGCGGCCGCACCCCGCGGGATCGTGTGGCGAGGCAAGGTCGCGACTCGTGGCGCGGGGAATACCCCACGGCCTTGAGCGCGGCTCGCCTCGCCACAATTTTCCCACGGGGCGCGGAGCCCGCTATGCGTCCACGGAGCCTCTCGGCTAACTGAGGGGGAGGGGAGAGAAGTTAGCAGGTTTTTGGCGCCATCTGCGGTATGCTCGGAGCCACGGCCTCTCGACCGTGGCTCCAGAGCTGTCCCTCGGCTAACCATCACCGCTGAAGCAGGATGAAGCTCGAGTGAGGCCACACAGAGGCTGGCCACTCCCGCCCGGGTCGAGAGGAGATTTCTCTCCCTCGGCCGCAGGTCTTCCGGAGGGGCGCGGCTCGGGCGGCCTCACCACGATTTGGTTAACTCCACTGGCCGTGACGCTTCTTTCCTCGGCTCGCACAAACCCTTACGCTAAAGGATTTGTGGTCCTGGCACGAGTACTAGCAGCAAGCGCCACGTGTCGGAAACCGAAACCAGTGGGATGTCAGGGTAAGGATAAGGATGAGGGTCAACGCTATGGCAGGGATATGGTATGAGTGAGGGTGAGGGGTGAGGGGTGAGGTGGTGTCACAAGCGTCAGGAGACGAGGTGAAGGTATTTAAAAACGGGGATAAGAGAGGGCAGTACCTGGGGGAGATTACTTTATTGTGAGATTAAAAAGGTACAGGACAAAAACCAAACAACAAAAAACTAACAGACAGAAAAAGAGAACACAAAACTGAACACTGAAAAACTGAACAAAACGAGTGGATAGGGGAAGGGGAAATTTGAAAGGAATGAGTAGAAGGTGGCTTCAAAGTGATGCTGCAAAACCCGAAAACTGCATTTCCTGTCCCATGCCAAAGAAAGAGATCACGGCCTAAACCTGATCTCCTGCCGGAACGAAGGATGGAGGGTGAGTCCATCCAGCCAGTGGTGAGTCAAGCACGGAGTTTGTTGGTCTGTCTACAGGCCAACTCACCCCACAGGATGTTAAGGAGGAAGCGAGAGGCTTCCTCGCGGAGTTCAGACGTGTAATAGATCGGTCACGACCCACTACAGGGAACCGTCTGAGTGCTTTATTCCATCAGAACAAGCTGGAGTTGTGTTTGTTGTTAGTGAGAGTAAAATGTTTGTGTGTGAAGGAGAGAGTTTTTGTTTTGTTTAGATGCAGCTCGTGCGTGGGATTGCGCGTCTAGATCGACCTAGCCAACACGGGGTCCTCCAGGTGGAAGAACTCGCGTCGGCTCGGTCGGTCGTCAGTTAGCCACTCAAGGTACACCCATTCTACCTGGGTGTACCTTGCGTGGTGTTACCTGAGCCCTGTAGCGGCTCCGCGATCGATGCGCGATCGACGGCTCCTCGAGGTCAGGCAGGGAGTCCTGTGAACCGACGCGGAAGTCCTGGGAATCGGCGGACCAATTCCCGATGCTTCCGCGCTGTCCCAGGGGTCCCCTGGCAGGGAGCATGGCTCCAGCCGAGAGCCCAAGCCCGGCCTCGAGAACGCTCTCGACATCGATGTCGGAGTCGCTACTGTCGTCGTCGAGAATGGTGTCATCCAATCTGCGACGACGAGCTTCGGGGCAGGAGGATCCTTCTTGTCTTTTTTTGTGTGCATGGATGGTGGTGTGGTTTGTTTGCGTTTGTGATCAGTGGTATTTGTAGTTTGGCGTGCTGTGCAGTTTCTTTTTGTCTTCGTTGTGGCTGAGGTTGCAAAACGAGGTGTCGTGTTGTGAGGAAGAATGAGGCTCTGGGTGAGTGTCTGTCACCTCATTTCCTGTGGTTTCTGTGTTTGTTGTGGTGTACTCAGGGATGTAAGGTTTTCGTCTTCAAAGATTTCCTCAGGGACAACAATGCTGGGGAAGCCGTTTCTCTGTAGCATAATAGGGACAATGTTTGCGAATCTTTTTGCGTTGTATTTGGCAGCAATGAGACTTACGTGTAAGATGGCTTGGATTTTTGGGTTTGTGTTCGGTGTGAGAGTGCTTGTTGGGGTTGTGTGGGCAGAATTGTCCGAGGGGAAGTCGTGGGTCGTCTGGGTGTACTGGTCTGAGCAGGTCGTGTGGCAGCTGTTGTTGCGTAGGAAGGTACAGTGTTGTGTCTTGGCGGAGCTCAGCTCGTTTTGCCTTAAGTATTTCCTTCCGTTTAGGGCAGGATCCACTAACTGCGACATGCGATCCCTCGCAGTTGCAGCATTTGATGTTTCAGTGCACCTGGCGAAGAAATGACCGTCGCCGGCGCACCGAGAGCATCTCTGGGGGTGTGTACATTGGTGTTTTTGTGGTGAAGCGGTAGCAGTTTAAGGCATTGGTCGATGTGAATAAAGCATTCGGGTTCCAGTTGTAGGTGGGGACCGATGTATTAAACATCATGAGTCCCCGAGAGAGAAGTTTCTGGGCTTCCTCGGGGGATGAGACGCGAATCTTGACGATTCGCGACTCGGGTGGCTTATAGACGTCGAGAACAGTGACACCGTTCTTGACGGAAACCTCCTGGCAGATGGACTCGCACGATCGTGGGGGGATCGTCTTGTCGATCTTTTTGGCCACGATCGTACATTTAGCCTTCATCTCGGGGGAGGGAACAGGTGAGAAGCCGTGGTCTTTTAACTTTCTTTGGCCGTCGGCCGAAAGAAATGGGGTCAGTGTTCGGGTTTGGCAACTGTCACTTTGAAGCCATTATGGACCTTAAAGAGGTGTGTGACTGCCACCTCAGTGATAATGAAGATATTCTGGAGAGCCTCCTCGCAAGAGATAGGCTCCCCAGAATACGCTAATTTGATCACGTGACCCATAGGGTTACGCCATAGCGAGGGTGATGGATGATGGGTAGAGGGGAGGCTAGCAGAGCTAATTAACTGGACGATGAAAGGGTCGGAAATGGTATCAAAAAACGGTGAAGCACACAGGGTAGCAACAGTCTCTATTTGGGAAGGCCGGTCGGGGTCGGAACCCTGCCGAACGGGCGTGAGCCCTTATGTGTTCGGCCGAACACTTCGCAGCGAAACTATCGGCTGCCACTGTGCGTCGTGCTTTTAATTACTCGCACATCAAGGCTGTAATTAAAGGCACTAGCCCAAAGCAGGTATTGCGTAACTGCACCCAAAGCAGTTACACCAAGAGCCAATCGTCTTGTCCGTCGTGGGGGTGTCAATCTCTTTATCATCCACGATGAAACACGAAAAACCTTGGACCTCAAGATCCAGGTAAGCCCTTCTGAGAACTCGGCCCGGGTGCGGGAGCTTAAGTGGGTCTGAGCTGTGTAAGCTACCCGGGAACGAGGGGAGCCTGCGGTCCAATGGGCGAGCCGTAAGGTGTCCGTGGTCAACCAATCAGGTCTCGGTATGAGTCGTCGAGAAGCTGCTGATGGTGAGGGCGAGAGGACAGGCTGTGGACCTGGACCCAACCTGGGGGAAATATGCTGCGCTGCAGGTTGCGGGGGTCGGCTACAGGTACTCCCCCTCCAGTGAGGGAGCTAAGCGAGCGAGCGATAACCGTGATACTCCAGAAAGCTGGGTATTTGTGTCACTCCGGAAAGTCACCCGTATGGCAATGGATTGGTATCCGCCATAGACTGGTGTCAATCATCTCTTTAAGGAGCTTTTGTGTGTGGGTGTGAGTGCCCACAGGTATGGCTGGTGTGCTGGAGATCGCAGGGGCGGCTCACCCGTCGGCTAAGGCCTGTGTGTTACGATATCGTAAGACGTTAGTAAATCCGGCCCCTGGGACCGGATACTCAAAATTTGGTGTAAGTTACAAGGTCGAGGACGTTGTAACCGCCTTACAATATTGTACTTTACGAACTCCTTACTACATTGTAAATGACTCATACTAAAAACAAAAAAAATTACAATGTAGTAAGCACATTGTAAAGCCAATGTAAGTTAGTTCCCTAAACTGCCAAGAGAGGGCAGATCGGTAATTGATTGACCAATCAGCAGTCAGCCTCCTAGACGTAACAGCCAATGGAAAGTCACAGATCTCAGCTGATTTATCACCTCGCTCTACCAAAAGTAAACAATGCCATGGAAGGTCCTACTCAAAAGAAAAGAAGGCCAAATTTCCCAGATGAATAGATGTTGGCTCTAATAGAAGCTGTGGTCTAGAGGAGGAGTGTGGTTCTGGGGAAAATAGACCACAAAATTTACCGGACAAGTGATAAATAACGCCTGGGAGTGTGTGACTTAGTGAGGTGAATCTTGTCGCTCGCGTTCCGAGGACTGTGGCTGAAACGCGTAGGAAGTTGACAGATCTCAGAGCAGCCGTGAAAAAGAGAAACACAAGAGAAGTAATACATGGTAGAAACAGGTAAGATTTCTCAATAAATTTTGTTTATTATATGCTGTAAGAACCCAAAATATTAGTGTTGAAATGTTGGCATAGAAGGAGTAAAGCAAATACCTTATATAATTTAATAACTTATGTTCTTGTCACGGAATTGTTCATGTACTAAATTAACGTTTTATTATTGAACATATGAACAAATTAACAAAGTAAATGTGAAGGTGATATCAACATGATGGTACAATCACAGATACACAACATAGTATGAAAACAAAGGATAATGTCATAAAGAAAGTAGATTGTTGAAATAGTTAATAATGAGCTATATGTATCATTCTAGAAAATTGACGAGCTAAGGCAAAGGTCAACAATATAGCATTAAGTATGGTATCAGTACATGCACAACCTTATTTGTTTGCTATTATTTTAGTTCTGTATGTTTATTACTGAAAGAATTTATTCTTAGAATATCTGCAATTATATAACTTTTACTGTATTAACATTCTTCACAAACTCAGACTAAAGGAGATATTTATTTTCTATATATAAGAATAAACACAACTCATCGTAAATAAAGCAAAATTACACACAGGATCTTATTTGTTTGGTATGATTATTCTGGTTCAATACTTACTGATTAATCTTATTTCTTGAATTAACTTCATTAAATGAAGAATTTTCACCATGTAAATGTGCTTCTCAAATGTAGTCTAAAAGAGATATGAATGTTTTGAAGTAATTATGAATAGCAAATTCATCCTATAAAGTAGTGAAGACTACAGAAATGAATATTAGCAGACTTATTCAGATAATAAAAACATTACCCATATTGACAATGACACAAAACCACAACAGTATGCAAGGTATTAACAAAATCAGAAAAAAGTCATCAATGTCACTACAGTTTAATATAACAGACATGACAAGTTCAGACTTTATGTTTATCTGATTCATTTATTTATTTTTTTGTTGTTTCCCAGATGGTGGCCCAGCAGTTCTTACAAACTACACAGCAGTTGAAGAAGCTATGCTAGCTCTGATTGAGGCTTTTATTATTTCTGGCTTACCAGGGTCTATGAAAATGAGACAGAGGTAGATGGTAAGTACACGTGTTTCTAATGAAATGGGGAGGGGGTAAATAATTGTGTTACCTGTAATATTTGCCAATTTTCATTATATGAAGCAACACAGCCTAAATAATACAAGCAATTGTAACATTATATATATGTATAGATAGATAGATATTGATATATATTTTATTCTTATTTTTAATCATAGTAAGCTGAATGTTAGTTTAGGATTTTTTAAATGTATTGTCATATTTGACTCAAGAAATACATATGAAAATTAAATATTGATATTTATTTTTTTAGATGTTGAAGAACCAACCCCTAGGCCATCTGGGATAGCATCTCAACCCAAATGGATTCTGAAGTTATTTTAACAATGGATGAGAACACTTTGGAGGAGCAAGAAGTTACAGTACCCATTGTAACAATGTACTACACATACTCTGCGGAATTACCCCATTTCTTCACAGAAGAGTAACTATGAAGATAGATTTAGCCGAGACAGTGCAATGGTCCAAGAGAGAGAGACCTTTCAAGAACTGAGCAGGTCAAGCTTTAATCTTTCTGATGCTGTCATATAAGATTTTGGTTTATTTGTTACTGAGACAGAGCAATATTTAATTTAGATTTTTCCTTCTTTAAATTCTGTAGAGTTCAGGAGAAAGCAAATTTTAATTCTATTCTAATATTCATTCAAAATAGTTACATGGTTTCAGGGACAGCTTTATTTTAATTATGTTATTATATTCCTTTAATTGCATTATATTCTTTTATTTGCATATTTTTATGCATAAAACTTATGTTATTTGTGCAATATACATAATTTGCCCCCAAAGGTTTTTATTGATTTTGTTTCAAAGGCAGTAGCTGTCTTGTGGTCATAAGGCAATATGAAAAGTGTCAGTACATTTTGTTTTTGTTTTTTTTATTATTTTTTTATTTTATTTATTTTTTTTTTTTACACTACTTTTGTAATATATATTTACTGTATGTATCTTACCAGTTTTATTGTTTTATAATCACAGGTCTGAAATAAAGTTGTATTTTTTATGCTTTTATCATAATTAACCTAAATCTAGAATATCTGGAGTAAACAAATATTTCTTTTTACATATCCAAGATCCAAGTTAGAAATGCTTTATTCAAATTGATTTAGCAAAAATAGAAAAACCTGTTATAATGGTAATGTTTTAACAGGTTTACCCATTGTGTGGATAGACTAATAGTTTAAAACAATATAAGGGTATCTTTAATGCCCCTTTTTAACAAGCTTATGGCATAGAAAGATTAATCATACAGATATCTACATTCCTTTCAGGCTGTAGTTACTACAATTAACACACACATGCACACACAATAAATATATATATTATATATATATATATATACATATATACATATACATATGTACATATACAAGTTTATATGAATGTATATATGTATGTAGGTATATGTATATATGTACTCGTATGTATACTTATATATGTATGTATACATACATATATCTACGTATACATACATACATGTATGTATACATACATACATACATATACGTATACATACATACATGTACGTATACATACATACATGTACATATACATACATACATGTACATATACATACATACACGTCCGTCTACATACATACATGTACGTCTACATACATTTACGTCTACATACATACATGTACGTCTACATACATACATGTACGTCTACATACATACATGTACGTATACATACATACATACATGTACATAAACATACATACATGTACGTATACATACATACATGTACGTATACTTACATACATGTACGTATACATACATACATGTACGTATACATACATACATGTACGTATACATACATACATGTATGTATACATACATACATGTACGTATACATACATACATGTACGTATACATACACGTATGTATACATACATACATGTATGTATACATACATACATGTACATATACATACATACATGTACGTATACATACATACATGTATGTATACATACATATACGTAGGTATACATACATACACGTACATATACATACATACACATACGTATACATACATACACGTACATATACATACATACACGTACGTATACATACATACACGTACGTATACATACATACATGTAGGTATACATGTACGTCTACATACATACATGTACGTATACATACATACATACATGTACATAAACATACATACATGTACGTATACATACATACACATACATATACATACATACACGTACGTATACATACATACACGTACGTATACATACATACACGTACGTATACATACATACATGTACGTATACATACATACACGTACGTATACATACATACATGTACGTATGCATACATGTACGTATGCATACATGTACGTATGCATACATGTACGTATGCATACATGTACGTATGCATACATGTACGTATGCATACATGTACGTATGCATACATGTACGTATGCATACATGTACGTATGCATACATGTACGTATGCATACATGTACGTATGCATACATGTACGTATGCATACATGTACGTATGCATACATGTACGTATGCATACATGTACGTATGCATACATGTACGTATGCATACATGTACGTATGCATACATGTACGTATGCATACATGTACGTATGCATACATGTACGTATGCATACATGTACGTATGCATACATGTACGTATGCATACATGTACGTATGCATACATGTACGTATGCATACATGTACGTATGCATACATGTACGTATACATACATACATGTATGTATACATACATACATGTACGTATACATACATACATGTATGTATACATACATACATGTACGTATACATACATACATGTATGTATACATACATACATGTACGTATACATACATACATGTACGTATACATACATACATGTACGTATACATACATACATGTATGTATACATACATACATGTACGTATACATACATACATGTACGTATAAATACATACATGTACGTATACATACATGTACATATACATACATGTACGTATCCATACATACATGTACGTATTCATACATACATGTACGTATACATACATACATGTACGTATACATACATACATGTACGTATACATACATACATGTACGTATACATACATACATGTATGTATACATACATACATGTACGTATACATACATGTACGTATACATACATGTACGTATACATACATGTACATATACATACATGTACGTATACATACATGTACGTATACATACATGCACGTATACATACATGTACCTAAACATACATGTACGTATACATACATGCACGTATACATACATGTACCTAAACATACATGTACGTATACATACATGCACGTATACATACATGTACCTAAACATACATGTACGTATACATACATGCACGTATACATACATGTACCTAAACATACATGTACGTATACATACATGCACGTATACATACATGTACCTAAACATACATGTACGTATACATACATGCACGTATACATACATGTACCTAAACATACATGTACGTATACATACATGCACGTATACATACATGTACGTATACATACATGTATTGTATACATACATGTACGTATACATACATGTAGGTATACATACATGTATTGTATACATACATGTACGTATACATACATGTAGGTATACATACATGTAGGTATACCTACATGTAGGTATACCTACATGTAGGTATACCTACATGTAGGTATACCTACATGTAGGTATACCTACATGTAGGTATACCTACATGTAGGTATACCTACATGTAGGTATACCTACATGTAGGTATACCTACATGTAGGTATACAATACATGTATGTATACCTACATGTATGTATACGTACATGTATGTATACAATACATGTATGTATACATGCATACATACATGTAGGTATACATACATGTAGGTATACATACATGTAGGTATACATACATGTAGGTATACCTACATGTAGGTATACCTACATGTAGGTATACCTACATGTAGGTATACCTACATGTAGGTATACATACATGTAGGTATACCTACATGTAGGTATACCTACATGTAGGTATACCTACATGTAGGTATACATACATGTAGGTATACATACATGTAGGTATACATACATGTAGGTATACCTACATGTAGGTATACATACATGTAGGTATACATACATGTAGGTATACATACATGTAGGTATACATACATGTAGGTATACATACATGTAGGTATACATACATGTACGTATACATACATACATGTACGTATACATACATGTACGTATACATACATACATGTACGTATACATACATACATGTACGTATACATACATACATGTACGTACACATACATACATGTACGTATACATACATACATGTACGTATACATACATGTATGTATACATACATGTACGTATACATACATGTACGTATACATACATGTACGTATACATACATGTACGTATACATACATACATGTACGTATACATACATACATGTACGTATACATACATACATGTACGTATACATACATGTACATATACATACATACATGTACGTATACATACATACATGTACGTATACATACATACATGTACATATACATACATGTACGTATACATGCATACATGTACGTATACATGCATACATGTACGTATACATGCATACATGTACGTATACATGCATACATGTACGTATACATGCATACATGTACGTATACATGCATACATGTACGTATACATGCATACATGTACGTATACATGCATACATGTACGTATACATGCATACATGTACGTATACATGCATACATGTACGTATACATGCATACATGTACGTATACATGCATACATGTACGTATACATGCATACATGTACGTATACATGCATACATGTACGTATACATGCATACATGTACGTATACATGCATACATGTACGTATACATGCATACATGTACGTATACATGCATACATGTACGTATACATGCATACATGTACGTATACATGCATACATGTACGTATACATGCATACATGTACGTATACATGCATACATGTACGTATACATGCATACATGTACGGTATACATGCATACATGTACGTATACATGCATACATGTACGTATACATGCATACATGTACGTATACATGCATACATGTACGTATACATGCATACATGTACGTATACATACATGTACATATACATACATACATGTATACATAAATTTATGTATACATACATACATATACGTATATATACATATATAAGTATACATAGGAGTACATATATACATATACATACATATATACATATACATATATACATTCATATAAAAATACATATACACACATACATATGTATATATATATATGTATATATATGTATATATATGTATATATATATTAATATACACACATATACATACATATACAAAGATATATATATATATATATATATATATATATAATATATATATTTATATTATTATATATATATATATATATATATGATTTCTGCAGTTGATTTTCCATTCGGGAATCGTCATCTCAGAAGGAAAAGGAGGGCCAGGGCTGTGATGAACATCTTTATTATTATGTAACGTTTCGAAGAGGTATCTCTCCATCATCAGACTAAAAACAGAGAATACAAGAACAAATTAGATAAGATGAAAAAGAACAGTGGTAAAAAATAGTTCATAACAGAGTAAGCAAATCAAAAGGCAACAAGTGAACAAAAAAGAAAGTCAAAAACATAGTGAAAAAATGTAAAACTTGGGTGAGGGTGAGACATACCAAAGACAAGTGAGGAAGTGCTAGTTATGGTGGTTGAATTACACCGTAAACAACTGAATGGCTGTGCTATTGTTCAGGTCAGGTTTCATCTTGTGGATATACAGGGATTCTGAGATGAGAATGTCAAGTTTGTTAGATGTTGTGGACAGAATTTTAAAATCATTGAGAGGGAACGGGTGATCTTGCGAGTGTGAATGCTGACGACGAACAGCAGAGAAAGAAGGTCTGCTCAGAGGTAGG